TCTCTCTCTCTCTCTCTCTCTCTCTCTCTCTCTCTCTCTCTCTCTCTCTCTCTCTCTGTGTGTGTGTGTGTGTGTGTGAGTGAGTGAGTGAGTGAGTACAGGTGAGCCTGTGCCTGCGCACGTGTGTTCCTTGAGGAGTAGGAGTAGAGTAATAAGCATCTAAATACATTGTATCCTATTCATATTGGAAGTTACCAAAGGTGTATGGGGAGGGGCAACAGAGTAAGTGGTACATACTGCAACTTAGTATTATCATTTTAAGAGAGAAAAACACAGCTCAGAGAGGCAAAGTACCTGTTGACATTGCACAGGGCACTGACGTCAACTCAGTCCCATTTCCTCCACCATTACCACCGCTCATCATGGACAGGGGTTCTCAAATTTGAGTGGGCACCCAAATCTGTGGAGGGCTGATTAAATCACACGTTTCTAGAGCCTGTCTCACAGAGTTCTGAGATGAGGTCTAGTTATTTGTATTTCAAAGAGTTCACAGGTGATGTCGATCCTACACTTCAGGCACCACTAGGCTAACCCACCAGAGTTCCCTCCTTATCTGTCTTCTGTGTAGGACCTGATGACATAACACGTCAGTCGTGGAGTGAAGTTCTAGTGACTCTCTCATCACTTGACTTGGTTGCTATGGCTACTGAACTTTAGTGTTTCCCACAGTCCATCCCTGGTACTTTCCCATTTAACCTGGCCAGAATCATTCTTTTGCTTTGGGTTTCAATATGCTGGTAAGTTTTTCCATTTTTCCTCTTAATAGTGTGAGGATTTAGGATTTAAGGTGCCAAGCAATTTTGGGAAAATGATTCTCCATTCCCTTCCCCACACTACATGTTATCCCTCACTCTGCATTCTTTGTTTCGAATGACTTCACCTTCTAACTGCATTCTACACCCAGGGTCACTCCGGGCCCTTCTAACCCAGTGGTTAAGTTCTGTCAGTTTCTGGTCATTTGTCTCTGGCACTGCCTGAGTGTCCACTTCGCCTGGCTGAACTCTGACAGCCGTTTGAATGGGTTTCTAGTGTTGACCCTGATTCTCTGCAGTGCAGTTACAGTTGACCCTGATTCTC